CTGCCCTCTATAGTCCTCCCTGGCACCATGACTCCCTGGTGCCTGTACCCTATAGCTCTCCCTGGCACCATGACTGCCAGACTGCCCCAAAATCTGCCTGCACACTATAGCCCTCCCTAGCACCATGACTGGCAGACCTCCCCAGGATCTGCCCTGTTTGCACCCTGTAGCCCTCCCTGGCACCATGACTGGCAGACTGCCCTAGGATCTGCTCTGCTTGCACCCTATAGCCCTCCATGGCACCATGACTGGCAGACCTTCCAGGATCTGCCCTGCTTGCACCCTATAGCCGTCCCTGGCACTATGACTGGCAGACCTTCTAGGATCTGTCTTGCCTGCCCTCTGTAGCCCTCCCTGGCACCATGACTGGCTGACTGCCCCGGGATCTGCCCTGCTTGCACTCTTTAGCCCTCCCTGGCACCATGACTGGCAGACCTTCCAGGATCTGCCATGCCTGCACTCTATAACCCTCCCTGGCACCATGACTGGCATAATGCCCCAGGATCTGCCCTCCATGCACCCTATAGCCATCCCTAGCACTATGACTAGCAGTCCTCCCCAGGATCTGTTCTGCCTTTACCCATGACTGGCAGACTGCCCCCAAAATCTGCCCTGCCTGCACACTATAGCCCTCCCTGGCACCATGACTGTCAGAAAGCCCCATGATCTGCCCTGCCTGCCCTCTATAGCCCTCCCTGGCACCATGACAGGCAGACTTCCCCAGGATCTGGCCTACTTGCACCCTATAGCCCTTCCTGGCACCATGACTGGCAGACCTCCCCAGCATCTGCCTTGCTTGCACCCTATAGCCCTCCCTGGCACCATGACTGGCAGACTGCCCCAATATCTGCCCTGCTTGCACCCTATAGCCCTCCCTGGCACCATGACTGGCAGACTGCCCCAATATCTGCCCTGCCTGCACACTATAGCCCTCCCTGGCACCATGACTGGCAGACTGCCCCAATATCTGCCCTGCCTGCACACTATAGCCCTACCTGGCACCATGACTGGCAGACTGCCCCAATATCTGCCCTGCCTGCACACTATAGCCCTACCTGGCACCATGACTGGCAGACATCCCCAGGATCTGTCCTGCCTGTACCCTATAATCCTCTCTGGCACCATGACTGGCAGTCCTCCCCAGGATCTGCCATGCCTGCACCCTATAGCTCCCCTGGTACCATGACAGGCAGACTGCCCCATGACCTGCCCGTCTGCACCCCATAACCCTCCCTGGCACCATGACTGGCAGACTGCCCCAGGATCTGCCCTCCATGCACCCTATAGCCATCACTGGCACCATCACTGGCAGACCTCCCCAGGATCTGTCCTGCCTGTACCCTAAAATCCTCCCTGGCACCATGACTGGCAGACCTCCCCAGGATCTGCCATGCCTGCACCCTATAGCCCCCCTGGTACCATGACAGGCAGACTGCCCGATGACCTGCCCGTCTGCACCCCATAACCC